TTTCCACAAAGCAAAGAGATCTCTTTAAAATGAAAATCTTGCTGGGTGCTGAGGCTCATGCCTTTAATTATCACCCCCTCTCAGTTCCCAGGGCCCATCAAGCTCTCTGGGCCTTTGTGTATGTTCATCTTTCTGCCTCAATGCCCCAGGCTTTTCAACCTTCATGCAACAGCTTAAATGTTTCCACCTCAGAGGCCTCTTCTGACTATACATTCTAGATTAGGTCCCGCCTATTATTTTCTATCCTAGGCCAGTTTGTTTCCTTCAAGGCACTTATCATAATGTATAATTTTGTTGGCTTTATTTATGTTTCCTTGTTATCAGTTGTCACCACTTAATTATGAACCCCACAAGGTCAGCAACCACGTTCGCCCTGCCAGCACTTTGCTTAGCACATAGTAGGCTTTCAACAGTTATTGAGCAAACAAATCCCCTGAGCCTCACTCACTAAACATATTATCACAGAGGAGATACACTAAAACAGAAAGCTGACACTGAGCCTTGGTAACTTCTGATTCTGAAAGTTAAACAGGAATGAAAGTTAGCTTGTCTGTGTGGTATTGATAAGGAAGGGAAGAGCGTGGTCTCTCTAAATGATACAGAAGGGGGCAGGAAAGTGCTGGGTAGAGGAGGGCGTGGTCCCTGGCTAGCGCTCCGCCTCGGGCCAGTGCCCAGTAGGTGAGGACAGGAATTGTTGTTTTCCTGCCCAAATGTTGCATTTCCACCCTGGTCTGCCACGCCCCCATCCTGTGCCTATGAAAACCAAGACCCTAGCAGGCAGACACATAGGTGGCGGAATGTGGAGAGGTGTACATCGGTGGAGGAACACACAGGATGTCGAGAGGAAAACACTGGCCTAGGAGCCCACTGGATCGCTGGTAGGCAATCAACTGGCGGAATGACGTGGAGTTTGGCCAGGGTGGTTGGATAAGAGCTGCGCTGTTTAGCGACCTGACTCCAGGGGAAAATCATCTCCCTTCTGGCTCCCCCAACTGCTGAGAGCTACTTCCACTCAACAAAACCTTCCACTCATTCTCCAAGCCCACATGCGATCGGATTCTTCCAGTACACCAAGGCAAGAACTCTGGGATACAGAAAGCCCTCTGTCCTTGCGATAAGGCAGGGGTCTAATGAGCTAACACAAGCTGCCTACGGACCCTGTAACACACGCCCACTGGGACTTCAGGAGTTGTAACACATTCACCCCTAGACACTGCCATGGGGTTGGAGCCCCACAGTCTGCCCATCTGTATGCTCCCCTAGATGTTTGAGCAGCGGGGCACTCCAGAAGCAAACCACACCCCCATTGCACGCCCCACATGGGGGGTGGGGGCAAGAGAACTTTTCCCGTTTCAACATGGGAAGGATATAAATAACTATATTAAATATACCTGTTTATATGAGATGGAATTATAGTAACAGCATGGTAATGAAGAATGCAGCAGCATTTTCAGCTACAAGCCCCAAAAGCTTTGGCTGCATCTACATGCACTCTCCACTACATGGAGTGTAAGACATTTCTATCAGATAGGGTAAAATATATTCCCATAGCATTTCATTTTCTAAGCACTGTCAAAATTCACTGACTAATTTAGTCATTTATTTAACATATATTAAATGAGTGCCTGATATACCAAAGGCATGGTGTTAGGCATGAAGAGGGATACAAAATGGTTAAGGCATTGTCCTCAAGAAAAATACATACTTTAAGGGCAAGTAAGACAAGAACATAAACTGCTACACTCCAAAAAAGAGTGAGGCAAGTACCAGAAAACAGATAAAAATAAAATGTTGTAGGGACACAGAGAAGAGAAAGAATTCTGACTGAAAGAGAGAAAAAGTTAGATGGAAGTGAGACCTAAGGGACTGGTGGGATTTGAACCTGGGAAGATGGCATTCCAGGTGGAGGAGAACCACAGTGGCTATGTTTGCTGACCAGGGAGGGATGGAGTTTGGCTGAGGAAGAAAGTGAAGGAAGGAATGTGAGGTAGAGCTAGAAAGGTAAACAGGTCAGCTTGAGCAGGACCTTAAGCTTTACTCAGTGGCAAAAAAATGGGAAGCCAGGGAAGTTCTCTGACTTGGCAGAAGTAGTAGGGGAAGTAAATCTGTTTTATGAACACTGCAGCAGATAGTTCAGAAAAGCAAAAGGAGGGAAGAGATGAGACAAGTCAGACTATTTCAAAAGTCTAGAAGAGAGAGAATAAAGGCGTACCCTAGGATAGTGGCAGAGGAAATCACAAAAACTTAATGACCGGGAAAATGGAAGACACTGCAGTCTTTCCCTCTTCTTTATCCCCCACGCCCAAAGATGGTACTGAAAAGACAGGGGTGCCATTGACAAAATGGGGAGGTGGGAAGTTTGACTTCTGGTCACCTTAGGTTGAGAAATCAGCAATTTGGGAGCTAGCAGGCAGCTGGAAAGAAAAGTTAAGAACTCAGGTGGGAGGACAGAGTGAAACTTAGGGAAATAAAGTAAAAACATTCCCAGAAAGCTGAGTAGGAGAACATATAGATTTTCTACATTCTTCTTAAGTGTAAGCCAGTCTGAACAGTGACATGTCACCTGCAATTGAACACACCAATTGTGACCTGTTTTGAAAGACTCAGGACTATGTGCTCTGTACACAGGTGCAACAACACAATTTGAATGATAAATGCCCCTACGTATGTTATGGCAACTATCACTATGTAAGCATCAATATGTAATAAACTCGCCTTTCTCATGATTTTAAGAGATTTCTGTGAAAACAATGTAGCCTTACCTTCTCATAATGAGTTTCCATGCATAGGAAGATGGTATATGCTGTTAAACAAGCCAAACAACCTTCAAGATATGATTGGCCGCCAAGCTTCTCTGCTTCTGCATAAAGGTTATTTAGAGTTCGAACTGTTTCTTCAAACTGCTGCCTATCAATCTGTAGAGAAGAAAAAATTTAAAAGTAAGTTTTGGAAAAAAAAAAAATCAACGTACTAATGCATGGTCTCACTAATTTATCTTGTTTTGTCACCATTCTTAGCCAACAGTTGACCATTTTTTGGTGATTAAATCTGGGCCTAAGTTATCGAAACTGCTTAGTTTATTTAATTTTATCCCTTTTATAAATACTGGATAGCTTTAAGGCTCAATAAGGTACTTCTTTACTTTTTTATTCTTTCTACTGAATTTCAAGTAACTTTAGACTATTCCTCTTTCCATTGATTTAGATTCACATTTACTGAGCACCTACTATCAGATACTATGACACAGGCAAATATAAAGTCTAGTGGGGGCACATACAAAGGCTAAGTTTCCTTTATCTGGGGAGAGCAGGTAATCTGAAATTGAGTAACCAAACAGTGGAATTTACTAGGCCAAAGGGAATGGCATTTTAGCAGAATGATGAAATGGCCTAAGTTCTATATTCTGTTTAGTCAATCTACCTCTTTTAAAGTAACTATCCTGTTACTAAATAAGGTAAAATTGGTTAAGGTAAAATCTCAAGCTAACACACAATTTTTCAAATAAAGTTATTCTTATTACTTCTTCCTATTTGGTGACACCATTATCTTAAATTTACACTAATACTACTGCAGGTTGAGCATCCCTGATCTAAAATTCTGAAGTCATAGAGGCTCCAAAATCTGAAACTTTTGAGCACTGATATGACAAGTGGAAAATTCCACACCCGACCTCATGTGAGGTGTCACAGTCAAAATGCAGGTGCACAACACACAGTTTATTCAATGTCCCCAAGGGAAAAAAGACCCTTCCAGCCCAGGTCAGCTGCCAAGTATCTTTTCTATGCACAGCCAGATTCTCCCATGCAAGCATGTTCTCAAAGGGTGATAAGATGGTTCAGTGTACACACACTTTGTCTTGTGAAGGCATTTAAAATATTGTATAAAATTACCTTCAGGTTATATGTAGAAGGTGGATATAAAACATAATGAATTTTGTGTTTAGACTTGGGTCCCATCCCCAAGATAACTCACTAGTATAAACAAATATTCCAAAATCTGAAATACTTTTGGTTCCACACATTTCACATAAGAATCTGTACTGTCACCCATCATTTCACTCAATCATCTGCTTTTACTTTATTCTTCCAATATTACTTTACTGCCTTCTAATAGTACTTTGTGTAACAGATTTCAAATTTCACTATTTCATCCCAGGACTTTCAAGGGCCATTAGGAAAGCATTCATCCAATACTGCCATTCTTATCTGTTCACACTCTAGGCCTTCTCTCACATAAGGATTCCCTTATTTCTAAGATTAATAAGTACTTATTTACTAATTCTCTCTTTTGTATTCTTTCTTTAAAAATACTTTTTGTTTGGCCTTTTCCCCACTTTCCTGGTTGCTGTGAACCCTATTAAGTCTTTCTTTATAATAGAAATGACTCCAGAAAAAAAAAAAATCAGTCTGGTGTGGTGACTCACGCCTATAATCTCAGCACTCTGGGAGGCCAAAGTGTGTGGGTCACTTGAGCTCAGGAGTTTGAGACCAGCCTAGGCAACACAATAAAACCCTGTCTCTACTAAAAATGCAACAATTAGCCAGGCATGGTGGCGCAAGCCTGTAGTCCAAGCCACTCAGGAGGCTGAGGTGGGAAGATCGCTGGAGCCTGGAAAGTGGAGGTTGCAGTGAAATAAGATCTCACCACTGCACTCCAGTCTGGGTGACAGAGCGAGACCCTTTCTCAAAAGAAGAAAAAAAACATATCTCACTCTTGTCACCTAGGCTGGAGTACAGAGGCACAATCTTGGCTCACTGGAACCTCTGCCTCCCAGGATCAAGTAATTCTTGTGCCTCAGCCTCCTAAGTAGCTGGGATTACAGGCATGCACCACCATTCCCAACTAATTTTTGTATTTTTAGTAGAGACGAGGTTTCGCCATGTTGGCCAGGCTGGCCTGGAACTCCTGGCCTCCCGTGATCCACCTGCCTGGCCTCCCAAAGTGTTGGAATTACCGGCGTGAGCCACTGCACCTGGCCCCAAGAACATATGCAGCAGCAGGGTCTCGGATCATTGCAACCCCTCCACCTCCCGAGTTCAAGTGATTCTCCTGCCTCAGCCTCCTGAGTAGCTGGGATCAGAGGCGTGCACACCACCACGCCTGGCTGATTTTTGTATTTTTAGTAGAGACGGGGTTTCACCATGTTGACCATGCTGATCTCAAACTCCTGACCTTAGGCAATCCACCCACCTTGGCCTCCTAAAGTGCTGGGATTACAGGCATGAGCCACCATGCCAGGCCAAGAACGTAATCTTTTAAAGTGTAAAACAATTCCTGACCATCCATAAGCTATGACAATTCTTTATATTAGAAGCAGTTGCAGTCATTGTTTTGTCCTTTGTGTGGAAAATGTGAGGAGTCAATAAGCCAGTGGCATGCATTAGTTTAATGTAACCTCTAAAGTGGTGTTGGCTCTACCCATTTTTCAGAAGGAGTTATCTTAAATTTCCAGGAATATTAGAGTTTTGGACAAAGGCTAGGTGGGTAAAGATGGCCTTTAAGCAATTCTTCACTGAGCTACCCCTTGAAGATGTGGTGTCAAAGCTGGTCATCCGGGAACCTAAGTCAGAGTTCTCATTCTTGAAAACAGACTGAGGAGAACCCAGTGAACAAAAATGGTAAGCTGTTATGTTCACCTAATTATGCCTAGGTTAATGCCTTCAGTTTGTCCACTGATAAGTCTACAAAAGTCTAAATAATTCCAATCACATTTCATATGCCTATAATTCCTTGAATTATTTCTCTTTCTTTATGTACAATACAATTTAAAATCACGGATTCAACTCAGAAACATCTTATTTCTTCCATATTAGAATTACTATTTATCCCAGGAACCTTAATTATTATTATTTTTTAAGTTTAGAGACAGCGGCTCGCTATGTTGCCCAGACTGCTTTTGAACTCCTGGTCCCAAGTGATCCTCCTACCTCAACCTCCCAGAGCAACTGGGATTACTTGGGTGTAAGTCACCATGCTGAGCCAGAAACACTAATTCTTATGAGTTATTTCGAGATTACAATGCCTTATAGGATAGAGGCAAATCATATGTCAGTTAAACAAACAAACAAACAAAAAGTCTAATTTAAAAAAAAAGTTAAATGGTTAAAGAAAAGTAAATGCCAACAAGTTTTTGAAAGGTTATTTTTAAAAAGGAAAATAATGGGTAACAATCACAGAAGGCATCAGTAAAGGCAAATGACAAACTTCACAAGAAAGGGCTCATGACAACAAAATGTTGCCATCTGTATCTCACTACCGTTAGGCTATGAAAAACAGTGGCCAGTGTTCTCCCTTAGGTTCCTGGGCACTGATACAGGAGCTCTATCAAAATTTAGAGATACAAGAAGTCAGAGCTAAATAAAACTGGAACCCACAAACATCAAAAGTCAGAATGGAGAGAAATCAGGTTCATTTTCCCCAAATTTTTGTTTCTTGTTGAACTATACAGTAGAAAGCATGGTGAAGCCTCCAGTGATCATGTATCAAGGGTGGCAGGTCTAAGGTAATTACTAACCAGATGGGGAGACTTATTTTTAAAGGGAAATAAGGGAACAAGTGCCTCAATTACAGTTCACTCATTCTTCTACCCAGACCAAGGGTAACTAAGAGATCTGTATTTTGGCTAATGAGAATTAAGTTTCCTTTAAAGAACTGTTCTGGCAACAAAACGCTTAAGCATCAAATTATTACATTCTAACAGGCGGCAGAGAAAATGAACTTGTTAACAGACAGAACCTGTCCTTTACTCACAAATTAAAGGGCACAAATGTGTGTGTATTTTTAAAAAATGCTTTAAAATAACACAGAACACTTGCATATTCGTCTCTTTCTCTATTACGTTGCCAAGTGTGATGCTCTCACAAAAGGAAAACCAGCCCCAATGGCAGAGCGATCAGTAAAATTTCTGGGGTAAGTAGTAGAGAAACAGATATCTTTCAGTTTTTCATCAAAGCAAGGAAAGTTTAAACCTGTAATTTAAATTTAATCTCAACACACATAGATGCATACACACACAATCAAAGCTTTTCTGGTGGATTAAAGCATAAGCTAGTGTTTTAACCCTAACATTTAAAAAGAAAAAAACAAATTCAAAGGCACAATTGAGTAGCACCATGTAACATTCCATATTGTACTCAGTACCACAAGCAGTTCTGGGCTATATGAAGTCAAAGAGGTAAAAGGACTCCAGAATTTAGAAACATCCATTTCCTGAGATCAGTGGAGCACTGTAACTACACTGTACTTTTGTACTTAGATTACAAAATAAAGGTTCTGCCACACACAGAATGGAAGGCTGATGTCTGATTCTGCATACACACATTTAGCTCAAATATATGAGACGTAAGTGCTGCTTTAAAACCTTAAAGCAAAGGAATCTTTAATGTCCAAATAATGGTGGTGAAAAAGAATATATTCTGAGTTTGAAGTACATAAATTATATGTTATAGTTTCCATCAGAGGCTTAAAAATAAAAAAACATTTGTTTGATTCCATGTAAATCTTTTTATTTATTTTTCAAGACAAGTGTTGCCCAGGCTGGTATGCAGTGGCATGATCTTGGTGCACTGTAACCTCTACCTCCCAGGGTCAAGCAATTCTTCTACCTCAGCCTCCTGAGTAGCTGGGATTACAGGCGCCTGCCACTATGCCTGGCTACTTTTTCTATTTCTAGTAGAGACAAGGTTTCACCATGTTGGCCAAGCTGGTCTTGAACTCCTCACCTCAAGAAATGCACCCGCCTTGGCCTCCCAAAATGCTGGGATTACAGGCGTGCCACAGGGCCCAGCCTGATTCCATGTAAATCTTAACATGTAAAGCACATCAATTGTGATGTTAAATTATTTTAAAATAACATTCAGTAGCTCTATCCAACTGGCCAGTTGCTCAATTTCTACCTCTTCAAACCACTGTGGGTAGTTTCACCTACTGTCAAGCTGAGTTAACTCAGAACATAGTTGACAACATATTGCACCATTTAAATGGCTTTTCAGAAACAAGTCGCTTCACCATCTTTTAAAGGCATATTTGATTAATTTGCAGTTAAAGAAACATATTTGGGCCACTAACCTGCCAATTATTATGTCAAAATGAAGGAAGCTATAATGGATCATTGCTGAATGATTTCCCAACCATGGCAATAGGGCAGTACAACCCACCTCACTGTAAACTGACTGTAAATAACTGCTACACATTTCTCTATACAGATTCATCCACACCCACTTATCCCATGACCAGCATCTCTCAGCCCCACACCCAAGGAATGCCTAATCACCTCTCAGGCCCTGCCCTCCCTGTCACAGAGGAGAGAGCCACAAAACCTGCTCCCAGCTCACCAGAAATTGATCCCTTAACAGGAAACAGAATCTACGTAGTAACATGGGTCAAGACCAAAAGAATCTTTGGTTGAGTGTACACATGTGGGCAAACAAAAACACAGGCAGGCACACACTCCATTACTGCTACAAGAAGATACAATGATTTTTTTAAAAAAAACGTTTTGCTAAGTCTGAAGAAAGGGGAAACAAATCCCATTCTTCCATTTTGCACGCAATGCTGCTCAAAAGACCTATATGCTGATGACCATTTTGATATGCACGACAAAACAGGTGGCTCCCAGTGCATGTCACAAGTTTAAGGCCTTGTTCTGAGGTATTTTCCTGTCCAGGCCTATCTAACGCTCTGTGTCTTCAAGGTTCCAATGTATCGCCTGGCAATGCACTTAATAAACCCTTTCAACCAAACAGTGGGACCAGCACAGAGGCAGCAAATACTAGTCATGAGAATGATGATGATTCCTCATGTGCGGAAAGATAGGCGAATATAGTTTACAACCAGGTGACTGAGGTGGCCTGGAGCCTCAGGAATTGGCTCCTCATCGCTGCCGACAAAAACCCGGGGTTTGGATTTGGGGGAGTGCAGAAGACTGCTGGGTCCAGATTTCCAGCACCTGGCAACAAACTTCTGTAAGGTCGTCAACCCCGGCGACCGGCCTATCATTCTTCCTCCTCCAAACACCTGTCTTGCTTAGTGGCTCTCTTCTCACACCTTTGGCCAAGGCCCCTTCTGTGCCTGGCGTTCCCCAGAACCGCGGGGCCCTCAGCGGCCCGGGTGTCGCCCACATCCCTCCCGTCCCCGGTGAGTCTCCCCCCTCGCCCAGGGCAGGCGTGGGGAGCCAGGTGGCGTACCCGGTTCTCCAGCTCCGCGGGGAACTTGGTCTGGAACTGGCAGCGTGTGCCACTGCTGTAGTCTCGTTGAATGAACACCTTTCCCGACACCGGCGCCTGCTGCGGCCTCATGGCGAGGACGGGACCGGCCGCGCTGCGGGATCGGGGAAACACCAACCGCGGTTCAAAGTCCAGGCCTGGACCGGGGACTCCGGCCCACCAGCCCCTTGCCCCCACCCGCCGCCCAGAGCAGCCCAAGGCCTCCTCCGCCCCGCTCCCCTTCACTCATGCTGCCACCGCGGGCCTTGGCCGCCACCTGGCCTAGGCCCCGCGCCCCCCACAACCCGGTTCGGCCCGGGAAACACAAACCCGCCTCCTCTGCCCTCCAGCTGCTGTCGCGCTGTTTTCGCCGTCACTTACGTCCTGCCGCAAAAAGCCTCTTCCTCGCCCCCTCAGTTCGGCTTCCTACTTCAAGTCTGGGAGCCACCCTCTCCTCCGGCCGTAAAGCGACCCTGCCGAAGCTGAGCGCTGTGGGGCTGGGCCTAGGAAGGGGAACGCTGTGGGCGGGGCCAGGGCCAACCCCGCCTTCCGCCCGCGCCGGGGTGGTTTCCGGAAAGAGAGGGGCGGGGCGAGCTGTGGGGCTGCAGCTGGCGAGAGCGCGCGGGGGCGTGAGGGGCGGAGCTTCTCTGCTGTGTCATTCCCCTAGTGATTGTGGCAGGTAGTTCCCGATCGCTTATTGTGAGGGGTTATTTTCATTGTTGATTGGACGTTGCAGATTACGTGTGGGTTATGCCACCCAACTAAGACACAAAACGTAGAAAGCAACACCCGCTCCCCAAACTCTCAAACACAAACCGCTCATCGTGTTCAGAAGTAGAAAGCAGGCTCGAGGGGATCCATTTAGTCCCTGGACTCGTGAGACAGGGCCAAGAAGCGAGGACGAAGAACCTGCCTGGGCACCAGCGTCGAGCGCCGCCCCCCCACTCTTCTTTGGCGACGGCTTTCCTCTCACCCCGGTATCCACCCAGCCCCCACCCACGCTCCTCAAGTGACCCAAGGGGACAAGCAATTCCGCTCTTGTTGGCCACTGGCACTTACTTTATTCAGCATCTCTTTGCA